CGGCAGCGCGCGCACCCCCCACCGCCGACCCTCGCCAGAATACAACCCCTATTCTTACCATCGATTCATCGTTTCGCCGCATTTTATCACTAAAAGTACAGCTTATTGTATGAATTGGGTCAATTGTTCCCATGTCAATAAGTAAGACATTCTTCGAAGATTAAAACGATACATGCACTTTTTTTAAATTTCATATATCAGCGATATGTTCCTTTTTAAGCGTCAGGTTTTGTTTTGGGATGGATAAATAAATGAAACTAGAAAAATATTTTAGAATTTTATTGAACACAAGAGCACAGTGTGCTAAAACACTTAGGTATAATAATAGTACAAAGCTTAGAAGTTATTTATCGCTCTCGTGAGATTAAAATATCAGAGACCAAAAGATACCACATATCCTATCAATTACAGCAGTTGAAACGGAACACACGTGAAATACAAAACTTTGTAGAATTTGTTAATAAATAGCTCTTGTTGCGGCACTCCAAGCTAAATCTGTTAAATTGATAGTAGCACGTGGTAAACCCACTGCTATTACTATCTTGTAGTATACAGTTATACATATATATTCACCGACCGAGTATAATCCTGTACATAGTTTTTATTTAAAGGAATAAAATAACTAGATATCAAGTATCGTAATTTTAGGAGGCTCGGTTGGAAAAACATTTACAACATATATATCAGTTTTTTTATGAAAATATATATTAGGCATATACAGGGTGACTGGTGAATTACTATCAATATTTAAGGAGCATACTCGGTACATGATTCTCATTCGAATTATGTAAAAAAAAATAGGTACTTAATTTTTGACAAAATTTCCGTATAAATAAATAAAGTGTGTACACGTTCCAAGTGTTCCAAGTGTGGACGCGTGCGTCGGCGTGCTGATACAACACTACGCCGCCGCCGCGTCTGTGTGAGTGTGTGTGTATACCTAATCTGTAGGGTGTTCATACGATGCGTAATTAATTACATAACTTTTGGTTAACTTTACTTAGAAGTTTATTAATATTTATGTTATATTCATTTTTATTTTGTCATATATGATCGTCAAATATCACGTCCTCAAATATCGATAGTAATTCACCAGTCACCCTGTATATGTATGTTTGTATCAGTTACTATATAATATATGTATATATAGCTAGAATAGGTTTTTTTATTAAACATATACTACTATGTTTTATATATGGATAGGAAGGACATATATATCATATATTACGACGTTATAAACCAATGTATCTCTATAAAGCGCTACGAGGACAGCAATATATTCTGATTTCTCTAGTGTATACAACCAATGAATATTTCACACAACTTATATAGCACCAATACTTTAATCACTGTTTCCAATAAATTTAATTACACAAAAATCTAACACTAAATATAATATTACATGATCAAATTATCATCTAATTATATGATAAGCGGTATCTTTTAGTATCACTTTTCTTAAATTATGTATAATAAAACACCTCATGACTATATTTGATTCAAAGAAATGTGACTTCTTCTCTTAAAAATTACGCGTGTACTTTAACAATATTTTCTGCTATAGATTCAAAATAATATCATATGAAAATAACTGTTCTGATTATCATTTTTACATACATGAATCAAAACTTTTATTTATAGTTACAAATACATAATGAGATAGACGTTATATAATTTATGTTAGTCCACAAAAGCTATAACTATGAGTAGATAACCCCCAGCGGAGTTTTAATATCACATCACTAATAGTAACTGTATGAAAATGAAGATCCTCTTGATAACAAATTGTCACTAGAGTAACATCAGGTATAGCCTCGATTAAACTTACAACTATATATGAAAGCGCTTAGAAATAGGTACTTACTGGCGCAATACACGAAAACAAATAAACAATATATTCGTGAAAATAACTATAAAGTTAAATGGAATTTAAACGGCAAGAATTCATTTTACTAACTTGTATGTTAAAAAAGAATTTACATTTCAACACTTCGATATCAAATAAAGCGTATTACGGTTTTATAACGAAATGTGTATAGTGCTAGCGTGTTTATTGACTTCAAAAATTGTGAATTATATTTTAAAATTGCTTTGCTGGCGATTTTAAAAAAACTCTCGTTTTTATTTATCGCTAATATTGTGAGTTAATATTGTTCATTGTCGTACGTAAACTTTTTTATATTATGAATAAATGTTTAACAGCTAAAGAATGCTAAGAAAATTATTTATAATTTGTATTTATAGAAGGATCTATAACACTAATTATTACTTATAATAGCCATTTTGTGTATTTGCATTTACTATATATGTAATTGTAGCTATGTTTTACATTGTACATAAGTATATGTTATAAGACGAAAATCGCATGCGTTAATTTTAATGGACTAATGTTTTTCTTATGTCGTAAGAGTTTTTCGACATAACTTTGTCGAATTGAAAACGTGAAATTAAAAACAAGCCAGATAATAGTGTCATTAACGAACTGCAAAACTCTTAATATTTCAGTAAGAAAGCCGTCGACCTAAATTTCCTTCTATTTACCTGCCTTAAGGAAATGAGAACTCGTAAACAACTTTCATAGAAATATGAATTTTAGTGCCGCAAAAAAAATCCTTGTTCATTTTAAAAATTAAGGACATTTTAATTTTCATATGTAAAGCAGACAGATGTTTATATATTTGAAATGTGTCTATATATTTCGTGCGAATAAAAAATATCTTTGTTACATGTATTTCAGAAAATGCATACGAAACTCCAATCTATTTTTAAAACATTCACGTTCCCATATATAATAGTCGTATTCGAACTGTACAAATTCAATCAACGTAACGTTGAAAAGTTTCATGTTCTCTAAGTCACAGACATTGAATAACTTTTGTACGTATGTACATAAAACTAAATTGCCTTCAAACTAGAGCTTATATCATATATTTAAAAGAAATCTTCGTAATAATTTAATAAACACTGAAACTAATTGACGTATAAGTACATGCTTTCTGAGGACGAATAATTATTAAGTTTTGTATCATATTTTATTTGAATCAATTTCGTTGTAGAGCACAGCTTTTTGTGAAACAAACAAATCAACGACTCGTGCATTCAGTGGTTAATTAAATCTGTTTTATGTATAATGATAAATGTTTTATGTTACAATTAAAGAGCATAACATTTTCGACTATCATTCAGAATTAATAATGAATTGTTTACATTGTATTCGGGAGCGTTAACGTTTACCAATTTCATATTGAGGTCACACAATATTTAGGGTATCCGGGTCCTAACAGACAACACATTTGCATACACATTAACCAATTTAAGTAACGTGTTGATAATAACATCGACATAGTTTCCACTGAAAATTATACACTTCAAATAAATAAAAAACACTAATAAATTATTAGAAGTTTAAATGTCACAGAAATTTTTTTTTTGATGGAAATATTTTGAAATGAATCGATGCTTAAGACTCGTCCAATTTTCAAATCGATTACCCGTTAATATTTAAAGTGATAGGTAGATGACAATCGATTTCTTCCATGTTAACAACACGTGGGGAGTAAAGATAACATCCTTAGTGTATCGAGCACCACTCGAACTATTGATTTCAAACTTGAAACCATGGTCCAGTGGAGAGACGACGCCGTGTATAACGAACGTACAAAGACCGAGTTACAGATATTATATAACAGTTAAGGAACCTTAAAAATAAACCGTTCAAATTTATTTCTATTCTTGAATACCTGAATAGATTTAAACATAGAAAATAAAATAAAAAAACAATCAAAACAAAAACAATAAACAAACATTTTGTTAGACGTGTATATTAAATAAAAGTAACGAAGCAACAGTTGTTTATAGGTTGAATCGAGCGTTCGGTATCGCTAATTGAAAATGTTTAAAACTTGAAATACTTAAATGATGCCTATTAAAATATTACGTATGTTTTAATTTATATTTGATTCGGTTATCAAATCGAGCAACCATAATATGTATTGATATAAACGAAGCGTGTGTGAATAAATCGTTTCATTCTTCCGTCCATTTTATAACGACCCATTGAACGTGACGTACCCGATCTAGAACACTATCAGATGAGAACATCACCCCCATTTATTCTGATGCAATGTGAATTCATGTACGTGTAATTTTATAATAGAACTCGTTAGGTGATATATTATTATATTCTTTATTGTGTCAACCTGATGCACGAGTATTAAACAGAACAAAACAGTAATTAACATGGTACATTACACGACGAGGGACGCATTGTACGTTCGAATGAGTTATTCAATACTAGCGTGGGTTATGATGCATTATGTCCATTGTTACTACAGAGAAACCCCGGAGAGTTTCATACAATACGTGCACATTTGACTACAATGTTTGATCGAGACTTAATTAATGTCTGGCTTATATTTTTAATATCCCTATTCGATGTTTTAGTGTATTGTTCTCTCATTACTGCATTATCTTATAAACTATTGATTTATTTTTTAACAATAAAATATTACGTAAATTTTTTCGGTGGATTCGAAATTGTAACTTACGAGTAAATATATTGTATAAAGAATTTTTTCTAAGTCTTAATACCACTGTTAAAAACTATTATAATTTAATGACTTCACTTGAATAAATATTAAGGTTCCAGTGTTGGCAATGTTAGAAGGTAATCAGTCTAAATTAATGTGTTGGTTTTAAGTAACTAGACGCTTTGTGATTATTATAAAAACCGAAAATATACGAGAATAATTATTTAGATGGTGCAATAAATTTGAATCCAAAAGATATGTTTGCAAATTGATCTCAAGCTATATCTAGAAAAAATTGCGAATGACAAAGTACAAGGTACAATTAATATAAGACTAAAATATTTAACATAACAAAAAATAAAGTGTAAAACTTACATACTAATGTATTAATAAAAATTGTCAGGTATATAGAAAAAAAAGACTACACAAAAAAATCAGATCGCTCCTTACGTACATAGTGTAGATTGTATTTTATTCGAATGACATAAGATTCGCTGGCAACGGCGTCACCAATTTGTTGGTAACCTCATTGATCCTCGCCGCCCATTGCTTCGCTGTTGATTCGTTCCCAGTTCTGTAACAAATTTTATTTATTATATACGTATGAAAGAAAACTACCATTATAATATTGAATATTTCGTTTCATTGTTCCATTTCTTTATAGTGGTTTAGTTTTTAAAATAAAAATATACTGAAAGAGACAATGATGTTATAGATGAAGAATTTTTTTTATCACAATAAGAATCGATGTTTCTAATATGCTTAAGTTTTAAGATTTTAATGACGTTTTAAGTATAAATATTGATAATTTAGTTTCACAACAAGTATTCATTAAAGGCATTCTAAAAAATTTCGAAACGTAAATAAATATATTTTCTAAAACAAAACAGAGACCGTGCATGCCATTAAAGTACTTCTATACTTTGTGAATAGAAGGTTCGTAGTTATATTAAAAAAAATACACAATTTTAAATCTGATTTCTGAAAGCAATATTGCATATGCAGCCCTTAAAATTTTATATCATTTCACATGTGTAACTTTCAAATTATATCTATTTTGGACACCAAACATAACCATTTTTTAAGCCAGCCACTGTGTAATAATTTTGCCCATTTTAATTAACATTTTTTAGCTGGTACTGCAACCAGTATGCTTATCCCAATTTGGCATCGTTACACTTCACACAGAGACCTAGTTTTTTTTTTATGAAACTTCCCACATTATAGTATTAACGTAGCATATTGAATAAGAAACGAGAAACTAAGTATAATGTAACTATGCAAACCTTTCTAAGTATATAGATCATTTAGGTAAACAAAAAAAGTAGAAACCTGATATAGCTGACAGGGTTAATGGCTCCTATTAATCAAGCTTTAAGTAATTCAATGATACTATCCAACAGTAATTACGTTGGTGATAAATTATCGTGGCTATTGATGTTAAGCACGGAATTATGAGCTGGATATAAATTAGCGTATTAAGTTACATTTCGATATATTGGTTTAGAATTTATATAGTAAGTAATATATTTATATGTCATAATATAAAATAAGCAACCTTTACTTTTGGCTTATATTTAAAATTGATTCATTACTACAAAATTAATTCCACAACTCTCGATTTACAATATAAGAAATGTAGTAGTGACATTTTTGCAAAACAAAATCTTTAAGAAAATATCTTTCAGAGACTTCTCACGTCTTCTCTTTATTAAAATTTAACTAATAACTAATTACTCTTTAAATAACGTCTGTTTATCTTTAAGACAATAACTCCAGTTCTTTACCGACTATAAATAAGAATTATGTATGTATGTATCGCTGTTATTAAGATTATGTACTTCTATTTTGTATAAAGGATATATAAAGTAAGGCTCATTTTAAAAAACTTATTGTAATCTACAATTATTATATATTTATAAGAGCTATCCACCGATATATTGATCCATCACGATATCTCTGGAACTTTTGACTATGGGACTTGAAATTTGGTAGGAATATGCCTTTCGACATGTAAAGGTCAACTAAGAATAGATTTTACGAAGTTTCACCCACATGGGGTGTTTCGGTGGCGTTAACAATTAAGTACTCCCGTTTTAAAAATATATATTTTCCACATGATTAAAATTGTTTAGGGATCTTCTATTTGTGATGTAGAAATTATCTATGAGATAATTTTATAATATCTTATTCCTAGTAATGATTACGGGAGTGGGTGTTAACGATAAAAAAAAATTATTTCTGTATTTTATGTTACTTTAAACGGACCAGTAACTCATAGTATTAAATTGTATAATATATTATATATTAAACTCTTAAGATCTGTTAAAAGAATATAATCATTATATAAATAATTGAAAATGTTGTCTCATCAGAGCGTGTCAATCAAAATTACTGACAGTCGGAGTGTGTATGTCTATTTTGGCTTAAACAATTTTAAGTTATAAATGTTATCGGAATACGTATAGGAAGGATGGCGAAGCGGAAGGTGTTATGGTATTACATCAAAACGGAAAGCAATAATGCAGGAGAAATAGCTACTACAAGCCAATATTCTATAACAGGAGATTACATCCCAGTCGAGACAGTTGATTAATGAGTTATAACAGCAAAAAGTTTACTTACAACAAATAGATATTTTTTTTATATTAACATATATTTTGTGGGCTACTAAATTATATATGAAATCAGTAAAAAAACTTAATTGGGACAAACAATAAGGTCTTTGTAAATTGTAGCATTCTATCTGGTAATTTAGATACCGTTAGTTTCAGAGAATCCTATTAAACAAATCAAAAAAATCCTCAACACTTATAATGATGAATAATCCACCAAATCACGCTTTCCAGGTGAGAAGTGTCTATACAAAGCTTTGAAGATTGTCACTCTTGTGACGTAACCCTTTTTGTTCAACTCGTTGAACGTTAGCTGTGAAGATCATCTTACGAATGGACGAGATAACTTTAAGATGAGGCAAAAAAGAATAAGGTAACCCTAGTGGCGAGTGACGAAGACTCTCATTTAAATAATACACGTCTTTTCAAATAAGCCTTTATTTTAAGACCATGTTGAGTATAATTGCAATAGTAAGAGAATGATATAATTAGTATAAATAATGGAATAAAATTAAATATTTTACTATTATTGGATTGGACAGAAAGTCTTGTGATGATATTTTATTAAACCAATCTTATATGTAATATGTTTTATTTATTAACCAATATAATATTCGGTCTGTAGAAAGAATAGATGAAATGATACATATGAATATGTATATATAATCGAAGGCATATTAAGGTTGAAAATTATGGTCAATGCATGAAGGATGGTGGTGAAAGTGTCTTATACTAGCTTTCCGCCCGCAGCTTCGCCAGTGTGGAGTTCGGCGGTTATATCGCGTTTCCAAGAGAAATTTTTAAAAGTCTGGGATAAAAACTATCCTTTGTTCTTTCTCAAGGTCAACTCTATCTCAGTAGCAAATTTCATTAATATCAGTTCAGTGGTTTAGGAGTGAAAGCGTAACAGACAGACAGACAGAGTTATTTTCGCATTTATAATATTAGTAGGGATATAGAAATAGTATAAAATATACTTACTTGAATTTATATATGGTTCCAGTTCGATGATCAACTAGCTGGAAAGCATCTTGAGCCTCGCAGTCCATGAGAACTGCTCGCCATCCGTCATGTAGTTCCACCACCTTACAGCGCTCCTTGCTGAAGTCGTTACGACTAGTTCTGTTGAAAACGCTTGAATTAACCTTATATATAAATAGTATAAGTTACCGCTGCGAAATAAGAACGTTGATTGCGTAGTGAGTCAAACGCTCTTTTATATAGGTTTATGAATAGGATAAGACACTGATAGCACCGCAGCCAGAGAAACGTGGCCGAAAGTAATTTTAATTAAATCAATGTTAATTAATATTCCAAATTTAATTTCGTTCAGTTATCTGTAAAAATATATATCATCCACACCATAAAAATGCAAAAAAAGTATCCAAAAATCCATAGATACCTATGCTCACTCGGTTACAACTACCTCACAGCCAGGTGTAAAAGTGGCACTTCACTTGGCCTTTTTTGTTGTGTTCGGCCAAATAAATGTGTGGAGGATTTATTCGTCTTCATTTGACATATTTGCACAAATAAGACACATACAGAAATAAGCGAAAACGCGTAAAGACGTGTTGTTGGCATGCCAAGTGTGGATGTCGTGTTTGCGCTATTTGGACTACGCAGACAATATTTTGATCTATTCCTACCGCATTTGTTTTAAATCAAAGACAATTTTATAAAAGATTTGTGGCAAAAGATTTGTGCTTCTATGTACCTGTATATATTTATGACTAATGGAAAAATTCTGTTTAATCTGTTAACTATAAGAATTGCATTGCATTGAGTACAATCCTATAAATTAAAGCACCAAAAAAAGTTGTTTATAAACATTTCCAGATCTTTTTTCTGATGACAGTTAACTTCGGTCGATTACATATCTTGCAGGACAGATTAAGTGGTGGGCAAACTACCTTCGCCAGTAAAGATAATCACACTTCCAAACAACAATGTCGGTAAAAATTGAAATATTGAACATATATATCTGTTGACAGATTCGTAATTGAAATCTTAACTAAGTAACAACTTACCATCCTGACACCAGTTAGCTAACGATGTCTAATTGTCTGTTTTTATTAGCCTTTCCCGTAAGACTCATAACTCTACAAAATACTACTACAGAACCATTCAACAAATATGTTCAAATAATTACACTCACAGAAAATTCTTTAATTCGTAACCGTCAGCGAAAATTTGTGCTTCATGTCTGATAGATTTGGAGCGAAATACTCGAATTGAGTTTAAAAATGCATTACATAATAAACTAAAAATTCGAAGAACGCCAACGAGGTATGACATAATGGCACAGAGTTTCCTAACTGAGCTTTTTTAAAAAACTAGAAATAATGTATGCATAATTTTTGTTTATTAGAAACAATGTGTGTGTAAAATGAATAATTCTTTTATGGCATGTACATCTTTTCCATATTCTCATTATTTATAGATAATCTTAAAGTAATTTACAATGAGAAACACTAAACTTAGTTTTATAGTACTCGTTGACGAACATGTGACATTATCATGAAGAGAGATCTAAAGATGTTCTGGCAAATAATGTTAATACATATAACTCTTTTTTTTTTTGATGACGCAGGGAAACTCTTTTTACGAACCATCCAACCGGCCTTGGTGGGGCCGGAAGGGATTTGTGAGGCTCGGCCTGGGCAGGCCCCTACTCACTAAAACCACTGCGAAAGCCATCGGCCGCTATGTTGGTGTACCCCGGATATGTCAGCGACATGGCACACCAGCGACTGGCCGGTCCTGGCAAAGAGCGGACTCCCTCCCTCGGAGAATGAAGGCAATCCCGGCAACTAGGACCACCCCGACGACGCAGGGCCTTCACTGGAGCCGGGTTACCACACCGACCCCGGCCCGGAGCACAGAGGTGCTATTGGAGGCGTTGGTATTGCCTCCGTCGCACCCCCGTACGTCGCCTGCGGAGGAAGGGAGCATCAGCCTCCCTTTCCCTCTCAGATGCCTCCTTCGTGGACATGACCGTCTCACAGAAGGAGGACACCGCCAGCCAGGACCTGTCACTCTCGAGCATCTTCTCCACGACACTCGAGAGCGACAAGTCCACTACGCCGAGAGCTGCCGCATTCTTGTCGCTGCGCAGCCCATCTCGGGCACACCTCGAGGGTGTACTGGGCCGAGTCCACCGCAGCGCCGCACTCATGGCAGCCTTCTCCCGGCTCTCTTCTGGCTGTCCGACACAGGTAGTAACTGAAGCACCCGTACCCGGTGAAGACCTGCGTCAGACGGAAAGTTAGGGGCTTGCGTTTCCGCCTCATCAATGTTAATATACCTCGCTAACACCTATGAACGTACTCAATATCCAAGTTCTATTATAGTGGACAGTAAAAAAAATATCTAAATATAAATGAACACCTTCCACTTCCTTACATTAATATACTTTAAAATTTTTCTGAAATAGATAACTCTAGATTTATATTATCTCCATATTTAATTAAAACTATTACTTTGTCTTTTGACTCATTCTATCTGGTATGATGTGCTCGATTTTATTAATATCTTTTAAATCAAGTACAGAATAATTGGAATTTTTAAAATATTAGGTGTCTGTAAATTTTTACAGTTTACTACAGGATCCTGTATTCACTTCTCCAAAGTAATGCAACTCAAGAATTACATAACGAATATAATTATTTATTATAATCCAGCACCATGCAGGTATAAGTTGGGTTAAAATTATAACCAATTGTAACAATAATTAATAATTGGAGATACCATACATTATTGAAAAGATTATATTGTACTAATGTTCCACAAAAAGCCTAGCTGTGTGTTTAATGAAAATCTGTTCAGGAGATAGTAAGTAATGTATAGCTTCTACATATTTGTAGAAACCATTAAAATTCCTTAAATTTAAGGCAGTGCTTCGAATAACTCTTCGTTCTTTTGTACTAAGGCACAACTAACTTAAATATTCTGCCAATTGAACAGCTATAGTTTTCTGATGTTGCTCGTATTATTGCCCAATACAGCTCTCATTATTTATATTAGAAAGTTATAATATTTTGCCCTTATTATTTACCTAAAATAACAAGTATGATCATTACACTTACGGTAAACAAGTGACAAAATTTTGCAGTAACTGTTAAACAAGATTTACATACGATATTTCTGCGAATATCTATCAACGATTTGAGAACCGTCTTGAAATAAAAATCCTCAGTGAATCCTCATATCCTCATAATTTGTGGGTTAAAACCAATGCATATGTCCTCAATAAATTGTGTTCTTATACTAAAGGCAAAGCAAATACGTAATTCACCCGTAAAAAGGATAAATAAATTATTTTAAACAATCTCCTCTTGGTAAATTGCTACAATGTTGTTTTATAAAACCTATCAGTCTGATTTAAATTTACATTGAAGCACTGATATGTACCTTTTAATATATGCAACTATAAGGTTCAAAGCGTATCATGCAAACCCTTGATGGTCATTTATTTTTCCAGATATACTGTGATGCCAATGTGATGTAATTCTTTAATATTTACATTGTAACTTTAATAATTTTGAAGTTATTCTATAAGTATGTTCTTTGGTAAAGTATTTTTTTAATGGATTAGTACAATATAATCCACTTTTTATGTACATAATACGTATATATATAAGAGAAATAAGTCAGTAATCTTTATATAAAGGTACTTATTAATATGCGTGATAAAATATACATTTCGCCCATGTACATATAATGTGCCTTCAAATATCTATATTTCATGAAATGATTTTTCACTTTCTTTTCAAAATTTTAGTTTTATTAGAATGATATATGAGCCCATTTTACTTATTTATATTTAATTATTGTAGAATTATAGAGAAAGGTATTTTAACAAACGTTTTTTCAGTTCAAACTAATTTATAATAGATAATAATATACTAAATATTTTTTTCAATTCATTCCAAAGGCAACAGATTTAAACGTGACAAACTCATTTATTATCTTAAAATATATGTATATTTGGGTAATTCTCACGAAATTCCGAAATTCTTGTCCTTGGAGTTTATATAAAAATCCAACAAAGAAATGGGATGTTACTTGTATTTCTATACAATCTACATGATTATACCTAAAAGTTTCACATGAGATTTTAGAGCTGTATTAATAAATAACTAAAAATGCATTAACCATAATGTTCCTAACATCATGTTCATAAATAAAATTGGTACTTGGGACACTCACCGTGTCCCAAGTACAATTTTTTTTACTTTTATTTACCAAGGAAGCACAAAAATCGTTACAATTATATTCAAGTAGGTTTGTGTGTTAAAAAATATTATAAATTTATAGGAAAGACCGAAATTAGCGTAATAAAGTTTACCTGTTATATAACAGGTAAGCTTTTTTTAAATTTATATGTGTCTCACAAAAAAAAATCATTCCCTCACACTTTTACTCACACTAAAATTATGAACGCATGTTAAATAGAAATATCAAAATGCCAGTAGTGTTTGAAAGTTGGTACTAAGGTCATTTTATCAAACTGGCGAATTTTCTGTAATTGTGTTCGGGTGTGCGTTGCAAAACAATTTGGTTAATTTTCTGGCTAAATAAAATTTTTGATCGTCGTTCCATCACATTCTAAAAAGCAAAAGGTAAGTACTTGAACTACTTATAAATTGCAAAGATAAAATGGCTTTTGGGAGTAATTTCCTTAAGCAGAAAAATAGTTTTAAAAGTAAGGCTATGTCACGAGTCCTTTACGGTTATTATTTATTTCGTCATTCCCTCATAAAAAGTGAGGGTGGGGGAACGATATTATATGAGGGAATGGTTTTTGTGTCGGCTAACTGTTTTTTTTTTATTGATTGTTTCTTGAATTTATTGCTGCAATGTTGTTGTAGGTTAAGAATGTCAAGAAAAAATAAGATAAGCAAAGAAGAAGCTAGATCAAAAAAGCAAGAATATGACCGTAAGCGCCGGGAAAAAATGAAAGCTGATCCTGTAACACTTGAAATACATCGCCAAAAAGAAAGAATGAAATACCTAAAAAAAAAGAAAAAGGTCAAGTAAAACTTATATCTGCAATGAGTTCCCGAGAAAGAAGGCAAAAAAGGAAAAACTGGAAGAAAAATAGTCAAACATATAGAGACAAAACAATGAAAGTGACAAAACAAAGAATTTAGCAAGACTGTTAGATGAGACACCGCCTCTTAGCCCAGGGCTTATGCAAAATAATAATGAATTAAGAAATCTGGCAGTTAATCGGAGAAGGCTCAGAAGACGTAGAGGAAAACTTTATGCAAAAATATTCAGATTACAGGAAAGTCTGAAACGATAAATAAGAAGAAAAAAGAGATTCCGTAAGAGATGTCAAAGACTAAACAAAAATAACCAGACTTCATTAGAAGCTAAAGTATCAGCTCTCTTAAAGAATGTCCGAATTCCTGAAATAGTGAAGAATAAGCTTCTTCTCTTAGAAGTTATTACTAAACAACTAAAAGACAGCTGTAAAATAAAAGAAACATAGTGAAAATAAAAAGTACTATGAATTAGTTAAACCGGTACTTTTAAAGAAACATAAACTACTCAGCTTTTCAAAACAATTTTTCAAATATGATTCTTACAAAAAGTTCATTTCTAGAAAAGTCAGTGCAAAATTGATGAAGTTTAAAAACGATGTTATTATATGTTGTCATTCCCTCACTTTGCTTTTTTTTAATGTCCTCATAACTTTCATAGAACGAAATTATTTTTGGGACCACCATAAGGGGCCATCCATAAAGTACGTCACACGTAAAGGGGGTGGGAGGCGGTCGGCAAAGTGTGACATGGTGTGACAAGGGGTGGGAGGGGTCCTAAGTTTCGTGACATCACATTTCAAAATCTAGAGCTACTAATCGCGTAATTTGAAATATTAATTAAAATCTTTAAAACTGAGCGCGTCATCACATATACTTATATACACAGGGTGACTGGTGAATTAATATCAATATTTAAGGAGAATACTCGGTATATGATTCTCATTCGAATTATGTAAAAAAAAGGTACTTAATTTTTGACTAAATTTCCGTATAAATAAATAAAGTGAGGACACGTTCCAAGTGTTCCAAGTGTGGACGCGTGCGGCGGCGTGCTGATACAACACCACGCCGCCAAACGCGCGCGTGTGTGTGTGTATACCTAATCTGTAGGGTGTTCAACTGTTCACACGACGCGTAATGAATTACATAACTTTTGGTTAACTTTACTTAGAAGTTTATTAATATTTATGTTATATTAATTTTTATTTTGTCATATATAATCGTCAAATATCACGTCCTCAAGTATCGATAGTAATTCACCAGTCACCCTGTATATATTCCTTAGTTTATTTATTATTTCAAATATTTGATACTATGTTGATTTCTTAAAAAAGTACTTATTTTAAATGGAAATAAAACTAATTTCGGAACTGCTGTTTTAATTTAATAATTTTTCGATGTTAAATTGCAAAACATGTGACGTCACACTAGGGAGGGGGGGGTCTCAGAAATGTGACCACCTGTGACAAGGACGGGGGAGGGCTCAAAAACTCATGAAATTAGTGTGACGTATTTTATGGATGGCCCCTAATATAAATAAATTCTAGTAACATGAGTACTATCAAATTCACATAAAATAAATATCAAATTATTTCAATATTTTTTGTTATTTTAAGATTTTCAAATTTCGGCAAATTTCGGCCAAATTTCGGCATTTCGTTAGAATTACCCATTTATTCTGTATATTATTTAATCTACAATACTACTTTTTCATACGTTTGTATCATAAATTCTTCTTCTTAGTTAGTAACCTGTAAAAATTACCGTATAGCAATATTGAGGAACCTAATACTTTTGTATGTGAACATTTATATATATAATTTATATAATATATCATATGATTGTTTCTTATTTATCAAACGCCCTATCTAAGATATTGTATGTCTACTATTATTATTTGTCATCAAGAGAGTTTACTTCAACCTAGGAACAATAACTTTTGAAGGTTTAAACGTACGCTGCGATTTAAAATATGTTTAGTTTAAATTGGATTTTGGTATGCCTATCTGAAGTCAATTTAAGTATTTGTCTTATCTCCACTTATTTATTGAATGTATGGAATTTTATTAAAATACCTTTCTGCATTTTAAACAGGAGCAAGATTCATTGATAAGAAGATAAAGAAGATATAAAATTAAAAAAAAAATAGACGAGGTATCTTAAAATATCTGGGTAAAGTATATAAAATATTGAGATATATGAACTTGACATAAAAAAAACATTAAATCAACTCACCCTTTGAATGTCTTTGAGCTATAGAAAATAAGAACATTCCCGGATATCTGTAACCAGTACCGTTGCCATGATGACAGAGAGATCTTTCTTCCATCTTTTATGATAGTTTTTCTTCGGACGTAACTTTGAAACTCGCACTCCACTGAGTCCATAACAGACGAACCATCACTGTGAACATTAGATTACATGTTAACAGGATTTCAGATAAGGTAAAATAGGAAGAAAAAAGATTCAACATGTTCAAAATTATCATCAAAGTGATTACACGTCAAATCCACATATGCACACATAACTTTTAGCGAATTTTACGCTGCACTCGCTACCAGTATATAAAATATTGCCATAAAAACTAAAGGCACCTTTTCTAACTTAGCCGCAGAGAGAAAAAAAGGCGGTCAATAACGCCTAAATCATATCTTAAAAACAACACAAAGTAACACAAACTTTTAGTCGCAATGCCAGCAAGAATTAAATAATAAGGGTCGATATTAATCTATTATTTGTACATGTGAAAAGAGCATATTCAAAAAAAAATAATCTTTGTAATCATAATAGAAGTTAACCCAAAGTCTGTATGCAATCACAGAAAAATAGCCATATATTACGAAGCCATGGTCCACTTGCTAAATTTGTGATGTCAGAAGCGTAAACTATAAAAACCATGAAAGATTTTTTTTGTATCATCAAGAAATAACAAACACTTTCAAACTATTTTATCACTATTATTTACATTCCGCGTCCACCACAACACGCTCGTTATATAAATGATAACAGGATTGTCTATACAAATAGCAGTAACTAATGTAAAATTATAATAACAAACTGAATTTACTTAAAGACGTTTTTCATATCCACTTCATAACATAAGTGTGCCAACAAGTATACCAAGAAGCGAAACGATTGATGAAAAAGTCATTAAGTCCGGTATAGTAGTAATATTGCAACATTAAAGGTGTTAATTTCCTCTGGATACTAATCATTCCTTTAAAACAGTGGTTCTTAACCGGTGGTCCCTGAGAGTATCCAAATTGGTCTTCGGAGCCATTCGTAAAAATAATTCAATCGCTATTTTCCAGAATACGATGATAAAAATACAGGGTGACTGGTGAATTACTATCAATATTTAAGGAGAATACTCGGTACATGATTCTCATTCGAATTATGTATAAAAAATAGGTACTTAATTTTTGACAAAATTTCCGTATAAATAAATAAAGTGTGGATACGTTCCAAGTGTTCAAGTGTGGAGGCGTGCGGCGGCGTGCGGATACAACACTACGTCGCGACACGCGTATGTGTGAGTGTGAGTGTATACCTAATCTGTAGGGTGTTCACACGATGCGTAATTAATTACACAACTTTTGGTTAACTTTACTTAGAAGTTTATTAATATTTATGTTATATTAATTTTTATTTTGTCATATATGATCGTCAAATATCACGTCCTCAAATATCTATAGTAATTCACCAGTCACCCTGTATAAGGAAATTGGTACGCAATCCTTTCATTATCAAAGTTTCAGAAGTGCCTGATGAAATTCAAGAAGAAGTGATTGAGAATCAACACGACAGTAATTTAAAAGATACTTTCGATTCAGGTACCAGTCTGGAAGTTTTCTGGAGTCGAAAGTCAATACATATCATTTTCTAAACTTCGAACTATTGCCATACGTTAATTTCTTCAAACTATTTATGCGAACAGGGGTTCTCGGCGCTTTTAATTATTAAAAACAAGCACTGGATGCCGCTGCCGACATACGTTTGGCTTTGAGTAGCATCGAACTTAGGATTCAGATGATAGTAAAGAGAATGCAATCACAAAAATCCCATTAAATTATAACTTTTCCATTACGTGTACTGTAATATGATATGTAATTAAAGTTACTTTAAATAATTGAATAAGTATTTAATTTATGAACGAACTCTTTGTTATTATCTATGTTACCTGCAATAAAACTGTTTGGTGGTCCGCAGTAATTCAGAAATTTTGTCTATTGGTCCCTTATGACAAAAAGGATAAGAACCACTGCTTCAAAATGAAAGCATTTAATATTAAAAGAAAATCATAATTCCTTGATTTTTGTTCTGGTATATTATAACTTTTGCCATTATCCTATTTTTACAAAATTCCATATTTACACGTGCAGAAAAAACGTTTTTATGAAGATTTTAGTGTTTATTACTGAAATACTTGAGCTAATCAGCAAAAACAGAATATTAGAAAATATTTATGAAATAAAAATATTATGGGTCTTAAATTTTATTCATAAAAAGTGAAACGAGTCACGTGAAATTTTAAGGATTGTTTTCCTCAAGACCTGTACCTTAATTTAATTAAATTAAAATAACCTTTATAATATTACCAATAAAAAAATATATATTTTGTTTTGTTTGTGGGACTTTCGTGTCTTAAAAATAAAATTATATTCTAGATCACGTTCATAGAATAAAGTTATTATATTTCCCGCTTCAATTCCGAAACGTTTATAGGTATTTTAATATGAATGTTTTAAAATGATCATAATCTTTACCTGAAAGGCAATGGTTTTGAAGTCTTAGCACCAGCCGTGGGCCAACTCGGTGACTCCAACAGCGTGTCATCTAACAAATTAACAGAACCCGCCGGCGTTCTCTCATCTTTATCTTCACTGTGACTTTTACCAAAGATACTGCGGGAGTACAATATTTTATGACAAAAAGGTTTTAGTCTTCCATAATATTTGAAGGACTGTGCATATCAAATATACGTAATGCAATATTAATTTCACTATCCATTCCTGATCTCGACAATGGCATTAAACATTTTATATGTGATGCAAAATAATATAATTGATATAATATAAACTATATACATATGTACATAACAAGCCTTTTGTGAAATATTGTTCAACATTAGTTATATTTTGCGGTATGGAAAGAACTAAATCAAACAATCGTACAAGCCACAGTGTGTTAAGTACTTTGAATTTTATAACACTATATATAGTGCGATTTATAAACATATACTCACATATATACATTGTTACTTATTATATTTTATTATTCATCAAAAGATGTAATACAAGATACTTATCACATGTGTTACTAAGACTTCAGAACACTCAATGGATTTTATATCTTATATGAATGTTTCGTGATAGATAGGATGATTTAATTATAGAGAACATGCAAAGGAAAAATGACGGTCATCTTCACAAGACATAATCATAATTTGTCTTTTCATATTACTCCGCCTTCTATTTAGCCAATTGTTATAACGTGTCCTGACGAGTTATTAGCAACATGTGCTCTAATAAATATTCCATTACTAATTATTTCTCTAATTACTGAATAACATATCTATATAGTAACTATTTATATTTATATATTTCGAATTATATTCAAATATACTAGAATTTTCTAAGCAATAAGTAAATATACGACTAATAAAAGCATATTATGTTGACGATTTTTATAATAGTGCCCAACATATACATATATTAATTTAATATACTAAGCGTCTTTATAAAGCCCAAATTATTTGCTCTGATTTATTTGTTTAAACTTATAAGATTTTAAAAATAAGGCTCAATATTCGTTTGAACTTAGAATAGGACCAAATAATTGCTTTTTCGAACTATATTTTATGCCAATTAAAAAATATTCTAATAAAATAAAATAAATAATCTATTAATTTTGTTTATACATATTTACAATAGCATAATTTATAAAAACCGGCTTTTATTATCCATTACATAATTGGGACGTACCGAAAGATCCTGGAGCTGGAAAATTAGACTGTCATTTGTTTTGTCTAATGTGAATTGTGAACCGTATTGTGATTACTATTGGGTCGCTTTTACAGTGCATTTAAGTCGATAAAATATGTTCTTACTATCGCTATGGTCTATTGTACGAGGGAGTTCTTGGTGACTTCTTGTACATATGTCTTAGCAGTGCACGTAATTGTTTTATACTCCAAAAGAGTCTTCACATCGGTTTCAAGGAGAGAACATTCATTACAATATTAGGGGAAACATGCTTAATCGGAAAAATTATAATTGTATCTTACGTTGCATATTTGCTATTACAATTAAAATCCAGAAACTTTCAGCGCGACCCATTTATAAATACATGCATATATCCGTTTTTCATAAATAATTTCCAAATTCACGGTCATTAAGCATGCATTCGCTATTTATTTCATCTACAGAACATCAAAAATGCAAGCCGTCATCCAATTTACCGTTAAATTCACACTCACCCGACACCGAAATTGACCTTGTGAAAATTTCTTGGTAAGCTCGCGCTTCGAAACCTATGAGCCATTGTTCATGTGTAAGATCTTGTTTAAGATTCAATAATAATGGCCATCCTCTCAGCTGATGGGCATTATTATCAATGGGGACGCTAGCATTCATATTTCATATATATATGATGGTGTTAGTAAATTTTGACAGTTGCCGGTACTGATACGTTACAATGATTATGTCTGTGCAACCGACCACAGTATCACTCATGCGTACATTAATATATACCCATCGACAACACCGTACAGATAGTCTCAAAATGATATGTAAATTGAAACGAAAGACAAAGACGCTTCATCGGTTACTGATAGAACATCCCATAAGGAATATATATATTCTACATGTGATACTTTTCAATAAAAAAAACGTAGTAATAAAACTGCAAAGTTTAATTTTATAGAACATCTATCAGCAACTGGTGAAAACAGGCCTCAGTGACAACAGTTAACTACTTGATTGAGTTTCTTGATATTCAAAAGATCAAAGATATACGTTAAATAAATTTCATATAAAATTTCTCAAGTAGTTCACTGTATAGTATTCACAAACAAAAACATAATACATTGATAATTTTTGTCAACAGAAAAATACATAACAAGACTTATTCTGTATGCATTTATTTCAGTCACAATGACAATTATTTAACTACATGAAACAAATGGAATTGTTAACTGTAAATTAAAAAAAAAATGTCTTTCAATGTACTTTTTCTATTATTAGTTTTACAAGAAAAAATATGTTTTATAAAAATATATGACAAATATTAACATCTGAAACTTTGATAGACAAAACAACAAAAAAAACAAATATCTATTTTTAATGTTAGTTTTCATAATATATACCTTGAAATTGATTATTATTAATAATTTCAATATTTAATTTATAGGTCCTATATGAACCAAAGTTCATTTTAAAATATTTTACAAAGAGATAGTATAGGCACAAAAGTAATAGTACAAATACATACTTGGATCCCAGCGACCGGCATTTTCTATGGGTAGGTATGAATTTAGCCTGAGTATATGACCCTTGGAGCCTTAGAGATCCCGAGCCAAGTCTGTGTGAAGGGGATAAGGTGAATGGTGTTGATGGACCTTGGACCTCTTTTACTGATTCCTTTGAACCAGCGCAGCTGCCGATAGGGGATGGAGGCTCCAACTTTAAAGACAACCTGAAAAATCCAACACATATACATTAATTCCAAGGTCACAGCCTGAAGAGCTATCATAAACAAGTACAGGTTCTTGAGATAGTGTGTTCTTTGAATTAAACATATCCCTACTAATATTATAAATGCGAAAGTAACTGTCTGTCTGTCTGTAACGCCTTCACGTCTAAACCACTGAATTAATTTTAATGAAATTTGGTCCAGATATAGAGTTGATCTTGAGATATTGAGAATCTATCTCCAGATATTGAGAATGAATATAGGATAGTTTTTATCCCAGACTTTTAAAAAGTTGTCTGGGAAAAGCGATATAACCGAACTCCACGCGGGCGAAGCTGCGGGCGGAAAGCTAGTAAGAAATAATTATTCCTAGCTTCAATAAACAAAATTTGAAACCTACCTTTTAATAACTAATGAAGGTCTTTCTTACCATCGCCTACATATCGCCAATGTTTTTAACTATATTTTTTATTGGGGTATTGAAATTATATGTCAGCACTCGAAAATACTTCGAACAGAGTATTTTGTATAGCTTAGCTTTACTATTTTAGTATATGGACGTATAAATCTGTCTCTCCTGATATAGATCAGAATAAAGCAGTTTCGAGAAAGCTAAATCTTTAGAGTATGTAAACGGGTTTTGGGGATATACAATGGTATTTCCCCAAAACTCGTTTACATACTCACTACCTTAGATTTTTTATTTGTGTTCATGAAGTGTCTGTCTAAATCAAACTGTTTACTCATTTGCTTTCGTAAAACAAAACATTCGAATATATACTCACTTGTACTGATCGTCCTCTAGAAACTTCTGAAGCTCTTCAATGTATCGGACGCTGTTTAGGTAATTAGCGACGTGTGGGACTGGTGTTATAGTGTACTCAGATGTTTGGTATCTTTCCAAGGCTTTCAACACCACCGCCATCTTGGCAACACGATGCGGCGAACCAGATGGATGAGCTATGTCAATGTATACAAGATCCGTGAGAAAAATACCTGAAAATATCAATATAGTAATTTTAATATCAATAATCCTATTTAACCCTTTATATATAGTTATCAACTACTGATGTATTTGGTGGTATCACATACAGTATTTGTAATACATGACTAGGGAGGATCATTTTATAAATATGATAAGAAGTGCGGGAAATAACCCTGAGTCAACAATAATTAGATATTGCCAGTGGATATATATTTTTATTTTCCTTTTATGTAACGAATAAAACAGCATAAAAAACACAAAGAAATGAGACGAAACAACTCAGCATTCCATGGATTCACCGTAAACCTACGCTTGGGACTTGCGACCCAAGTGTAGGTTTAAGGGGCCCCTTAACTAACGCGCGTTATACGCTCACCTCCACTGTCCAAGCTCCTCTCCCTACCTAACCAAATTTAAAAAGAACCTACTAGGGCTGCCTTCGATATACGTTCCAAGAATGCATTAATGTGAGTTCTGGACAAGCCCAATTTATATTTTTTATTGAAAGGCGTAAAGTTTTGCATAAGTATCCTTTCTCTAAGCATAACCAACGACTAAATAACATGAAAACGGTTACTTTAAGAAAAAAAAAGTAAACCCAAGAAATTTAATATCGACAAAATGGTAGGCATCCTCATTTAAAAGGAAAGCAATTTTTACTTTCTATAATTATTGTCATACTCCACTTTTATATTAGTTACAAATTTAACAAAAAAACACCAAAGAGAAAAATATTGTTTTTGCATAATTTTCTACAAAAATCATCAAGACAACCGATCGAAATTCAGAATCAGAAATGTCTAACTAGTATACATTATAGTAAATAATGCACTAATGACTTACAAAATTTATTACAGTATTTAAGAACAAATAAAATATTCTCCATTCTTATCTAAATGAAAAAATAAACAACATAAAATATTTATCGCCATAGGCAAAGGTCCAAAGTACAAGGCTTATGAATGTATAATATTCAATATGCCAATGTATACATTTCGTACGGCATCAATACACTGATAAGAATTCTCGGGATATGACGATAAAGAAAGAATTTCGTGGCGTTTCATTCCCCTTAATGATACACTGAGATATACAACAATGTATCATATCAGTTTCCTGTTACAAAATTAAATAGTAACATTCTTTAAACATTACATATTTTGAATTGGATAACTTATACAGATTAATATTTTTTGTTTTAAATAGATATTAACTATAATAATATTGTACATATTAATAAAAAAAAGTTGATAATTGAGGCCAGACATATATGAATCTAATAAAAATATATTTAAACACTAATTTATAATTTCATGTGTTAGTTTGAAGTAACAGCAAAGAAAAATCATTTAAAATTTCACTGTAATTTTCAAGGGATAGGAATCATTTTTTTGCACTCAAACAGGTTTCATGTTAGGTATATGGCCTTAAATAAACAAAGCAGTCAGTTATTTGATACAACTTTAAATAAATACAGATAAAAATGAAAGATATAGATAACTTACAAATTATAAGCTCAAATGCAGTAAGTAGTTATTTCAAAAAGAAAATCCTATACTTGTTATAGAGCTGTATATGTATTATTTGGTATTCTAAATGGTAATAGCATTTTATGCAAAAATTAAAAATGTACACATATAACCAAATGTATACAAAAACAACATGTATGTACATTTATATGGTTATTCAAAGCCTATGTTTTTAATTAAAAACACAATTAAGCCCTTATCATAGCAATTGCACACAAAAATATCATTAATTTCATTTTTTTTTAATGTATATTAAGAGAAACAAACTTATTCAAAATATTTTTCCCGATTACAAATTTAATGGAAATTTTATGTTAGTAATGTAAAATTTCCAGCAATTTCTTGCAAATAACTATTTATTTAGTCTGAAGTAATTAATATTACGGTGGTTATTTTCTTTGTAAACCCATTATCAATATGGGGAAAGTGTTTTAATTTATAAAATACACTAACCTAAGTATGGTATACACGGGAGAGATATAGAACGCATATATTCCCTCAAGGTCATCCAATTGTCCTTGTCACCAAATAACTCTGCCAACTTGTCAAACTGTTGCTTATCTTTCTTGGATAGACATGCCCAAGTCTTTGTCAATCTAGAAATTATATACAAAACATCTGTTAATAGATTATCATGTTAATGTGAAATTAACTTTTATGTAAAATCTTGGTCTCAATATCAACACAGACAAATATTTCTATGATTTCAGTGTTTCGCCTTTAAAATAAATATTTTTAAGCTTCTTACCTATATATACTAGCACTAGTCAGAGCAGAGATGACAGCAAAAAGAGAATGAAGATTGTTAAGGTCATATAATTTCTTTGCCACCTTTATAAAGTGGGCCAATGTTTCAGCTCGCACCTTAGGTGATTGACCGTTTAGTATTTCCTGTACAGTCCAAAAACTCACCTGAAATTATCAACACATCTTTTTATTTATTGTAATAAATAAATTCAGGCCATATTGTAATAAATTCCGGCCATGTAATCATATATGGTTAAGAATAATATAAATTCTATCTTTCACTTCTATTGGCTTACCCTATTAAACCTTTTTGTAAAGGCCACTACATTAGGAGCTACCATTAATTTGTTTAATTTTGTCCATCCACATGTTGTAAGCTCTTCAGGCTTGATTGATTTAAAACATAACAGATCCAATAACGACAACTGATTTGCGATATCCTCTGGAGCAATTCTTAATACGGAACATACCATGGTGTCCCATGATTGACTCATTGATGAAGCTGCAGGTAAGCTATTTGTTTTAAATTGGTATACGGGATCACACTGACGATTCGTTGCACCTTCACCAACACTAAAATTATATATATCAGCTTTAAATTTCTGATATTACAATTGCAATAATCATTTACTTAATTATTTAATTTAAAAACCAGTCATTATAATGTAAAAGCACTTAATGCGTTTTAAAAATGTGAAAACATTATAATATTATTCACATAACACAAAGAGCAAAAGTTTAATTATGTATTTCATGTATATTTAGAAGTGATAAAAGTAACCATTACTTGGCAAATAGATTTAGTTAACATTGTTGGGAGACATCCAATATAAATTGGCTTTTACAAGTAGTTAGATTCATAATTATATATTAAATGAATTCAAAATATAAAGAATCATTGATCTAATATTCATAGAAGATCAGTGTTATACCTTTAAATCATTTAGGAAAATGTTTTGGCACACAACAATTAACTTACATGTAATTGTAATAACAACACTCATCTTTAATATAAGATTGATCACTGTTGATTTTATCACAGGCACCTTTCACTGCTTTTGTTTGTTTACAGGATGCCTTATCTTCAAGTTGCCAATTCTCTTCCTCCTCATGCTAAGAAAGAACATTGAATTTAAAGGAGCAGTTGTAAGAGAACTATATGCAACTTATTTTGAAATTTATGATAAAGAATAATGATCATCATAAAAACTATATTTTAATAATGTATTTTCTTACGAAAATTTAAATTTCCAAAACAAAAATATCAATTAACACATATAGGTTCAAAATTTCAGCTCTTAAAAGTCATTTGACAGAAAGAGCTATGGTCACTATACTGTTCTCTATTTATTATGGATAAACTGTTATGTAACTAAAATCAATATACACAACATAATAAATACAGTAGTGTATATGCATCCAGGTAATGTATACTGCAGGGTCACTACCTCAACAATTCTAAGCACAGCCAGGCTATCGCTCAGAATATCTCGCGGCATTGCTGTCTAAGGTAATATCGTCCATTCTTCGGAAAACATAAAATTCATTTCATTTTTGTCATTTGCATTATATGTATATCACTTCACTTACACTGCACAATAAAAAAAAATTCGGATAAGCCATACATCGTTTTAAGTAATTCCGTTTAACGATAGATATTATTTTACGATTGTTTATTAGAGAAATAAATTTTTTGAAGCGTGTATTCCATAAATTCTTCAGAACATTGCCGTATTTTTTAAAAAAATATGATACGATAGACACGTTAATGAAGACTTTTCTTGAGCTTATATTCTAAATATATCAATAAAAAAACAAACAATACTCTGGTGGAATGATAATATATTAATCTATTAATTCCAAAGTAATTTAATTAACTTCAAAATAAATCACCAAATATCAACCGAGTAATAAATCACCATGGCAAATCGAATAGTAGTTCAAACTAAATGTTTTCTTTGACTAAAATACTTTTTAAACTATAATTCCTTGCCCATTGTACTGTATTCTACGAAATCCTACAAGTATATGATACAAACATGTATGGACAGCAGACACTTTTTATGTGAGAATAGCAAAGCGATTAGATACTATTTCGTTCAGAAATTTAGTTAGTAGAATGAGAGTAAGATGTTAATAAAATTATCTATGCATATTTTTATAAAATAAGTATTTAAAATTGAAAATTGTTGTTACTGTTTAATTCTATAATATCGTAATCTTGTTTTGTCTTTCTACAGATTTATAAATTACTACAAATTTATCAAGCCAAATTCTTCTTCTAGATTTGGAGTTTCAGTCTGAACTATTAACATGTAAAGAAAAAGATACATATCATGAAAAAAATAATCCCTCAGTGGGGTATGTAAATACGAATAAAAATTGATGTTTTCAAATTGTGGATTATCTTTCAATTAAATAAGTTAATTTGTCAATGTATTCTATGCACGTTATACTTATAATTTTACTTTATTTCAGAAAAACTTATATTTGTATGTAAAAAAAGATTCATAGAATTGAAGCTTTTTCTTAACATCTTAGTAATCTTTTTTTTCTTGAATACGTTCAATATTACGTTTTCTTTTTTTATCCTGGTAAAAAATATACAAAATATTCATTTCAAAAACTTTTTATAATTATTTTGCATTTTTATTTTATATTATGTGTTTAGATTTCATATAAATGGTTATTGTATTGCTTCTCTAGTTATATATGCTAAAAGTTTACCAACTACGACTACCAAGAAGTGGGTTTTAGTCAAGCAATACCAAGTCAGTGATAATAATTGAATAAAATAATTGTTTATTAAAAGTAAATTAATTATTTTTAAGTCCTACTAATGATTAAGTGGTGATTGTAGCTAAAAATGAAATCTATGGTCGAACCCACTTCCGCTGTGAAGTGTTCATTTACAATACTATTTTTTGTAAAAAGTCTTTAAAAGGTTTATTTTCAGAATAAAAAAGCATTTAGATTATTTAACATGATAATTACATGCTTTTTTATACAAATACATTCATATATTTTTTGTTGAGTGTTAAAAATGATTAATGCAGTATTGATGTTGAACGCCTTGCAAACTGTTATGGCGTTTGTGTTCTCATACACAACGCATATAGTGTCTTTTTCGTTGAAATAAAATATTCTCGTTTTAATATATCTTGGTTACAGAAGATCAAAATGGGTATTTATTTTTTGTTAATATGTGTATAAGTTTATTAAAGTGATCCGATTTTAGGTTATGTTACTTAGATTTTTTAGTTATATTAGGTGTGTTTCAGTGAATCAGAAGACCCAGTAGGCGTCTTTCTCCAGGACTGTTTCCTTAATTGTGATGTCTGAATGAATTTCTCACGGTTTTTAGATATTCAATCATGGTGGGAAGTGCCCAGCATTGCATACTTTTGTTCCTTATTCAGGACTGCATTCAATCTTTTGGATTTTGACATTGAGGTGAGAATTGATCGCATTTTCATAAAAAATCGTTACTACGCATACTTTTGTTATTTTTTTTAAGTAACATTAATTATCTCTTTAGGAGTTGGAAGAAGCACTTCTCACAGATGGAACGGAAGAGTCGGCAAGTTCGCTTCTGACGGAACTAATAGTGCGTCTTCTAAACGGTTGTTTAGGTAACAATGACATCTCGGCTTTTAATTTTCAGGTCAATATCTTCATGATAATATGAATATCTTAATATCTTTTCTATATAAAAACAAATTTTACTCATCATATACTTCCTTTATAGATGTATTTGAGGAGATTGTTTCGACAAAAATGTCAAGAAAAAGGAAAATGCAACCCTTTCGATAATGATATTAACTTTCAGTTTTTACCACTGCGAACAAAAGTTGAGATCTTATATTCATTATGTGATTTTCGGTTGGATGCAGAAGATGTTTATGATTTATTTAGAAATCTTGAAGCTGAAAGCCTAAGAGTTGAACCACTTGGGTAATTTTTAAATTGTGATACTCATAATTTTGCTATTTGAAATATACAACTGAAATACATAAAAACTTATAATGTACACTATTTTTTTCATGATTTCTAATGATATTTTTATTTTCAGTTGGGATGACAATGATTCTGCTTATTGGTACTTCTATGGGACAAGGCTGTATCGTGAAGATATAGTAAAGAAACCGAAACCAAAAAATAAAAAGAAAAAGAAATACGGCAAGAAACGGGGAATTTTCTATAGAGATGACAATCCTAACGATGTTAGTACAAGACGGGTTTGGCAAGTTGTGTGTTTTACTGAAGGTGATTGGACCCAGCTGACAGATAAATTCCGCAGAGCTAATAGCAAAGTTGAAAAGGAACTATATCATTCCTTGTCAGAAAATTTCTTGCCTGAAATACCCCACCTTTTTCAAGAAAAGGAGCGCTTGCAACGTCAAAGGTAATACTCATGATATATATTTAGTTATAGAAGTCTTACACTTTATCTAATAGGATTTTAATTTTTATTATAATTTAAGAAATCGAAATAAAAATTCGATTAACTTTCATGCTCTATTAAGTGAATTTTTTGTATTAGTTTGAGTTGTTGTGTCACCAAATGTGCGAAATTAATACTTTTATAAAAAATTATTATCATTTGTTTTGTCAAGAGACATTGGATTTCAAAAATTTTATTTTTAATGAAAAACATATGTTAGTTATTTCAATTAAATTTTATTTTTTCTTTATAAAGTAGATTTATTCAATTTGGTACAAATAATCATTTTTTTTATTTTATTATCACTTCCTAAATAATAATATCATAACTAAGCAAATGTGACTTAAATTATACAGTGAACTCTAGAACAAACATTTCACAATGGCGAATGAAACCAAGGCGAAATTTTATAATGATTTTTTATTATGTTGTTCATAAAGTACTTGGGGCTAGCGAATGTTTTAAGTTAGTGAACATTGCTGAAAGTATGTTATAATAAAATAATATTATCATTCAAATAAAATTAAGTCTTCAAAATTGCACATAAATTTTATGATGATAGAAAAGTTTGCTTGTTTGTTCTTATTAAAGAAAATCACATAAATGAATAAAAATAAACTGTATTATGTGTGAAATAAATAATTTATTTAAGTATGAAACACTGCTCAAGATATAACTTGTGATTGAAGGACTTTCATTTTTTACACAATAGGAATCATTTGCATCAATTTCAGCTATGAAAATAGTTTGTAATTATTAATTTTCACCTAAAAATACTACCACAACCTAAAATTAGACAAAATCAGGTGCTGCAGCTGATTGCTCATCTATTCATTGTAGAATGAATCTTTGGGACATGCAAATTTGAATATTGCACAGCATTTTTATTTCTGCTACCTGTCAATTTAACCAATTGTTTTCTTTTAATGAATTGTACTGCACTATGCCTTGTATTCTGATACTTACATACAGCATTGCCTTGTTGATATTCCACAAACAATTCTCTTATGGTTCTTTATCTTTATAAATTCTATTTAATTTTAAAAATCCCTTTATACACATTAATATTCATTTAACTTTTATATGTGAAAGTGTCTTGCTGTTGCCCAAAAATACTTTACATAATTTTGGAAAAGAGCTGATTCTCATACATTCCTAGACAGATATTAACCAATTTTGCTATTGTAAGGAAACTGGGTTTCTAAAAAAAAAAAAATTGATCTATTCTTTTGTAAGTTATTATGAGACAGACAGACCGACGTCAACGTCAAATTTAAGAATCGTTTTTGTGTGGGGGGTTTAAAACGATTAGTGTCTAAATATAGCAATAAAGTACGAAACAATATATTTTTTAAATAAATTAATCATATGTTATAAATGGCTTTGCGCACTTTGAGAATTGAGATAACCGTAAGTAACTGTTGCAGCTTCATTTGATTAAGTGTTATTTGTTATGTAAATGTGAAGTGTATGTTAAAAAATGTAATATGAAACGATTTATCCTATTTTAATATATTTCGTTGTGTTATTAGGTTGTTAGAGCTAGCGCCACGCCGCACTTCCAGCCGCGTTCTGCAAAAGATCAAACAGAAGGAAGAGGAAACCAAGAACTTGTATGACACCAAGAGGGAAACGAACAAGAAATCTACTTCTGCTGCCCGCGAACACAGGGCCAGGCGCAGAAACCAATTAAGGTAAATTAAATTTGACACGCAACAGTACTGCGGTCCGAATTCCATATATTTTTAATTCCAATACTTTTTAATAAATAGAATTCCCGGAAGGATCACATAATTATCTATTATAGTTATTATTTCATGAAAATTTGTAAGTACTTGTAGGACTTAGGTCATCTAGGATATAATGGATGATTTTTTATTATGTTTTCTACAGAATAATATTTTTTATCGCTACGCAAAGCAAGTATAAAAATGGCAAATAAATTCAATATTCCTTGAAATGTATAAAGAATCAGGGATTTTTTATATCAACAAACATTCCTCTCTTGATGAAGTCGGTTTATACATTATAATTTTTTATTTGTACGTGTTTTTT